ATGAGCCCAAACTGAGCCCCCAGATGAGCCCAAACTGAGCCCCAAATGCCCCAAAACTGAGCCCAAACGCCCCCAGCCAAGCCCAGCCAGGCCCAGCCGAGCCCCCCTGACTGGTCCATCCGTCCCCAGCTCCGGGTGGATCCAGGATCCCTGCGGGAAGTGGGTCAAGGACGGGAACGCCGAGTTCGACTCGGACGAGGACGAGCCCCCGGCGCTGCCACCGACGTGACCCTCCCTGTCCCCAAATCCCCTGTCCCCAAATCCCCCCGGGAATTCCCGGCCTGGACACCTGGAGCTGTGGGAGCCGCTGGGAAAAGGGGGATCTGGGGGATCCCGGTGTTTTCCTGCTCAACCTGGTGCCTTTTTGGGGTGTCACTCCCCGTGCCCGATTCCCTGGATACAAATGCCCCGATCCCGAAAATCCCGTGTGGCACAATCCTGCCCCAAAGGGGGTCTCAAATCCGTGTCTTTCCAGCTTTATTTCCAACATTCCCAGAGATCTCCCGTTCCTGGGGGGTTGGTTTAGGTTTTCTTCTGCTTCCGGCCTGGGGGGAGAGAAAAGTGTGGGGGGGGTCAGGTCTGGGAATTCCTGGGATTCCTCCCCCCAGTTCCTGCCTGGAGGGGACTCAGGGGCGTTCCCAAAGCTCTTTGTAGTGTGGGGGGGTCAGGTCTAGGACCCCCTTCCCCCCAATCCCAGGGATTCCCCCCACCAATTCCTGGGATTCCCTTCCCCCTATTCCTGGTGGGATTCCCTTTCCCCCCCAGTTCCTGGGATCCCCCCCCAATTCCTGCCCGGACGGGGGACACTCCTGGAGGTTGTCTCGGATCTCCCTCCCAGTCCCTGTGACTCCCCCCCCTCAATTCCCGGGATTTAAGGGGTGGGTCGGGTCCGATCTCTCTCCCCGCCCCTCGCCCCGCCCCCATTCCCGGTTTTCCCGCGGCATTCCCGGTTTTCCCGCTCACGGAGCTCGTTGTTCCTGGTGATGGCGCTGGCGGCGCGGGCGCGGGGGCCCTGCTGGGTGAAGTGGTACCCGAAGCGCAGCACGGAGGGGCAGCGCTCCAGCATCGCCGCCATCTCCATCTCCGCCGTGTCCCCCAGGCGCTGGCACTGCGG